ACATATTTTGAATGCCCTGACTCCCTGTCCATCCCCTGTCGCTCCCCCACGCTCGCCCCGCCGCTTCCGCTCCCGCGGAACTGCTTCGTGTTCCCAGAAATCCTCGAGGTCGCCGCCGCCCATGCAGCGACCGCCGTCATCTGCAAAAGCGCCGCCCTCGCCCCGCCCCTGCTCCGTCCACGCTGCCCCGACCACCTGCTCCGCCGGATTGCACGTCTGCCACCTTGCAAATGTAAATACACCAACTCACGGAGGAGGCAGCCCCCTTTCAACCGTACGCTACCCACGTGTCAGAGGGCTTTTTATCGCAATCGATGCAATATTTTGAATGCATTTTAATACATCTCACTTTTATCCATATTCTTGAATTTTATGTTGGTTCTTGCGTTCTAGTACTTTAAGAATCCATTTTTGCAAGCAGTCAAACAAACTTACGTAGTTGACGAAAAAAAAAGAACCGTTGGAGTATACCAGACTCATGATACTGTATCAAGGAACCTTGTTACAGTATCATGGATCTGGTGTACTCCAACGGTTCTTTTTATTCGGTGAAATATTGGCATAATTTATAGAGCATTATGGACTTATTTTACACTTATTGAGCCCTGAAGAATCTAAGTAACAATATCAATAAATTGTGAATTATATTCTGCGTGCAGTCACAGATTGTAAATGAATCACTCCAGTTGCCCTAGCATTTCTATGTATGAATTGCTAAAGAAATGAGTGCTTTTACAATTTTTAAGTCAGCATTGTCTCAAAAAAAGTCTTAAATTTGCTACTTGGCTGGATAGGCAATTACCTCTCTGAGAGGCATTAGATTTGAGACGAAATCTAGAATTGTGTTGATTATGCTGCGAGAATTCAGTAAGGGCACGTAGAATACTCATCAAGTCCTGGAAACAATAATTGTGCGAAATCAGAAGTAAGAATGGGATAGACTATTGTCTTTGAACATGTCGGTTTTCTGTGCATTGGAAGATTCCTTGTAAAAACTCGTCATTTTCACAAACATTGATTTATACTCATTATCCCCCATGCATTTTCATAATACATATCTGACTGTTGAAGCGAAAGCGTAAAATAATGATCATATTGTGAAGGTGACAAACCCCGGCAAATAGCTGCCAGTTGTGTGGGCAGGAATTAATCAAGTATTCATAACCACTCATTGTGTGATGCAACGAGTTCCCTATTGAAGCCGGAGAGGTTTGCAGGTTTCGTTCACGTAATACTGCGACCTCTTCGAGGACTCCTACGTAGTGGTGGCACGTCATACTACGACTTCGATTTCGTATTTATTACATTTCTATCATTCGTAGCATACAATACTAGCAACTACTCATGTGGTTTCTTATTTTAAATCACAATAGTTGCCTGCATGACCTAAGGTTTGAACATATCATGTTTAAAAACACATCTACGTCTACATCATCTATTTATCTGTAACATTATTATTAATCACGATGCTGTTTGAAAGTTTTTCTCTTTATGAAGAATTACTTGAGGGTTTAAGGAAGACTAGAATTTCGTGGTGCCAATCATATTAAACAGAGTTAAAACTTGATTATTTTTTGGGCATGTAGCAATTCGTGAAGTCAGTGCCCCAAGTGAAACAAATTCGTAGTCATCAAAGCGGGTGGTATTGTGCAGTCAATATTACGACGAAAATATAGTTTGTTATAAGTGTTGATGTAATTTATGAAGTTTAGAACAAAAAATTGAATATTTTTAATAATTAATTTTTACAATAATTCCTCGTACATTGTGACGTTTCATTGCTTAGATGCCTTCTTGCACCCCTATATGAGTCAGAATAAATGCAGCGTGCAGCGTGCACTTGTGCCCGTTCGTATGTTGCTAATGCTTAGACCTCCCCGGTCCTTCATCTTGGTTTCTTGATGGGGAACCTGGCCATTGCTGTGATCCTATTATTACATTCTAAAAGAATTCTCGAAAAACCTCTCGAGGTTTTTAGTGCGTTCAGAAGTGATCATTATCTTGTTGGATTCCGTTCAACAAGACGAATCGGCTGGTATGGATCCTTTTAGAATATTCCAGAATGTAGAAGAATCATTCTGGAGTTTTAAGGCGCCTTGGGTATGCATGAAGTAAGAATGTGATTGCAGTTGGGTGTGAAGGGTGTTGCCGCGTACAACGCGCTCTATTAAGAGTGTACAACAAACTAATACGATCCACAAGTATACAACGAAACCAACAGCTTACCCTCAATCATGCTGCTCATTTTGTCACAATTAATCTATCTCCTTTTCTCTTTCTCTCTTTACACTAGTAATGTCGCTCAGCTGAAATACTGCGGCATTTAGCTAGTCGATTTACTTCTTCTATAATTTGAGGAGACAATACTATGCAGATGACGATGCAACTGATTCCTAATTGCGATTAGGTTCGGCACTGACGTTACCACGTGACGATGAATTGCCAATTCTAATGTCTAATTCACTCACACCACATTATAATTTTGTTTATAGTGAAGTGGTATAATCCTGTGAATGACAATACTCCTTTTCGGCATAACATGAGTCGTTACTTGATTTTTCAGATGGACAATAATTTAAGCTAATTTTGAAATGAATATTAAAAATTAAAAAAGTATTTCTATCGATCCTTTTTCGTGTGACTTACTACACTCGAAGATGAGCTAAAGAAGCAACTGTTTTTGTGTTATATTTCATTTTTTATGAACTTGTGAAACTCAAATACATTTGTAACTTCACAATTGCAGCGGGGAATTTAATTTTGTTTTGTGAATTAGCCACTGTAGGATCAGAGTATTCAAGAATTTTACATGGAAATAATAAATCTGGGAAGTATATTTTAAACATTATGAAGTAATTACGAAATTCTTATTGTTCAAAGATAATGAACTGTTTAAAACCTTTCCAACTGTTTTTATTTTAATTTTTTTATTTTAAAGTGAAGGGAAATACTAGGAAGAATAGGATTAGGTAAAATATAACATTAATTTGTAACATATGTTTTTTATTATAATAGAATATACAATTAAAAATGATTGTGATGCACATGGACAGTATATGAGTAATTACAACCTTCAGGTTTCAAAAATTCTAAGAAATAAAACATTTTGCACTTGCGCTCATTCCTTTCCTCTTATGAAACTAGTCATGGGAACTAATGCATCATTTTAGAAAAAAATAAAAAATAAATATACCATCTCTCTTTGTAATCATCACAGGTCAACACTTTTTAAAAGCCTGAAAATTGCTTAGTGCTCAATCTGGTAGGAGGACCCAGCCCAAGCAATCCTGGGGCCTCCACTTTGGTTACAACAGAGCACCCTTTGCACACACACACAAACACACATAACCCCAGCAGCCTCCGTAAGCTATATATAACCCCATAGCAATATGTAGTATTAACATTTGATAATTACTTTTGAAAATCAACAAAAAACATGTGCAATATCATATTTGCATAGATGTCTGCAAACTGTTGCCATAAGAAAAAAGATCACATTGGTGGGCCTTTGTGGAGATAATTCAATAAATCACAATTTTATTTTTCTGAGAAATATCTTTGGAATGTATTTTTTTTTTACACAATGAGAAAATTCAAGAATGCATAACAGTTGCAAACATAATATTACATCAAGCCACTGATGTTCCATTAAAACACAATATAATATATATGTTTTTAATTGCATTCAACTACCAAAGAAAATCTACAATACAGCCATAATTACAACAAATTATTAACCTCTAGGAGGGTTATTTTGTACATGGTGTGAAGCCATCGATATTTATTCACTATTTAGTGATTAATTCAACATTAATTACAAACATATTTATCAATGTCATCAAAGAGCCATGACTCCTTTGGGGTTTGGACTAACAGCGGCCTTTGCCCTCATATTCTTGTTCATTCGTGCATTGCACTGCTAATCATTAATGTGATGTACTATATTGCACAACAGGTTTGTGCTTCACAATATCACAATATTTCCTTTATGCTGCCCGGGAGTTTTAAAACTAGCTACATTTTTGGTGCTCTAGAACTTTCCATACAGCTAGGTGCACCACTGGCTTAAAATCGTCTATTCTTGTACTATATATTTAGCTTCTCCTCCATAGGATGCAGCTTTGAACATGGTTTTGTGCCGTGTAGGGGCACGAGATAAAAAAAATACACAAGTGTAGCCAAAACCCTTGAGGAGGCGTGGCGGTCGACCGACTCGACACAGCACGTACTCCAACAACCCGAAAAGAAGGCCTCTCGACATAAACCAGGCCAGCAAACAAGGTTAATGACAATAATCTACGGAAAGAAGAAACGACGAGGCAGACACAGTTACATGGCTGACGACGCTATGGGGCGCAGGAGGTTGGGCGGCAGCACAAGGCTGAGCTGAAGTGGCTGGGAGCCCGCGCGGGGGCCGTGGGCGGGGGCGTGAGCCCGCGCGCCCAGGGCGCCCTGGCCCGCCCCGCCCGCCGCCACGCCGTGGGCGTGGGCGTGAGCGTGGGCGTGGGCGGCCGACGCGGCCTCGCGTGCGTGGCGCTTCACGTGCTTGGCCAAATGGTCGGAGCGCATGAAGCGGCGCGCGCACACGGAGCAGCCGAACTTCTTCTCGCCCGTGTGGGTGCGTTTGTGGCGGGAGAGCTCGTCCGAGCGGGAGAAGCGGCGACCGCAACGTTCCCACTGGCAGATGAACGGCTTCTCGCCTGGAACACAGAAAGAAGGCGCCCGATCAAAAACCAGCCCCTGCGGAACACCCTGTCTCGAGGCAGGTTGCCATGTTTATTTGGCTTCTTCGCTGCCCGGAAGACGCCGCGACCTACGCAGAGGTGCCGACATTACGGACGCCATTCAGGGACCTTCCTCAGGGCTAAATGCGAGGAGGGTCGCAAAATGGAGGCTGAAACTTTGGCACCTGCGCCTACGACGCGGCGTCTCCCGGACAGGCAGATAGCTACTGATTCCGGCCGCGGAAGCCTACGCTCTTATTTGACATTTAAATATTTACTTTTTGATTCTTCTGGAATATCTCGCTCGTTATCAAACATATATAAAGCTAAGACGAGTGTGCCAGTGCTGCCAACATTAATACGAATCATTTTCTCTTAGTGCGTGCGTTGCGTAAGAACTGACAGTGCCTACGAAAGCGGTATACACTGTCTTCTTCTATCGCATTATGCAAATTAACGATGGGGTAACTGATATAAATAATTAACAAGTGTTCTACCGGAAAAGCATTGGTGTAATGAAAAAAATCTAGATTGCGAGATGATTGTGGAGTTTGTGCCTCTATACAACTGGAGACTGATAGCTAAAATAAGTTAAGCCTCTCAAGGGCCGCGACCCGAGTCTTCCAGCGAGAACGATATTGTTAGCCTCGTGTTTATCATCGCAGGTGCGACAATCTCCTCCACCACGACAGGAAAACGGGCCTGTTACTACTCTGCCCAACGCCGCTAAGAGCGCGAAATGAAGAGGGAGTCTCACCTGTGTGGGTCCTCATGTGGGCCTTGAGGTGGGAAGACTTGAAGTAATTCTTGCCGCACCCCTCGTGGTGGCACTCGTAGACGCGGCGGCGCGTGTCCACGGCTTGGGCGTCCTTGGCGCCGGCGGGGGCGGCTGCGGCGGGGGCGGTCGAAACAACACGAAGGAGGTGCGGCAGAAGGCGGCGCCGTGCGCGGCCTGCGCGAGGCGGCCACCACGTTGTGCGTTGACGGCGGCGGCCGGCGGCGGGGGGAGCCCCCCGGCGGCGGGGGCCGCGGCGCCGCCGCCAGCCTTTGGGTCCCAGGCGGGGCGGGCGCGTGGGCGTGCTGGGGCGGGGCCCCGCCGGGGCCGCCAGCCGGATCAGCGTCCCGCCCGTTCAGTAATCACAGTTGCGGCGCGCCCCTCGGCGCGCCCTTGACCGACGACAACCGGGACCGAGGGGGAGAGCGGGCGGGCAGCGCCGGCGGCCGGCGGCTTGGGGGCGATGGCCACCGCGGAACTAATACTGGCGCTGGCGCCGGGGTCTGGGGCTGGCAGAGAGATTCGTCAGCGAGGCATTGCTTCGACGGCGCTGCTGCTCTGAGATCGGTTGACTACCCTGAGTTTGAGTAGGCGTGAAGAGGAGAAAGGAAGAAGTAGAAGTAAATGAATAGTAGTGATGATGAATGATGATGATGATGATGATGATGATGATGATGATGGCGGTGAAGAAAGAGGACGACGACAACGAAAAGATGGGGGTGAAGCACGGTACAAAGTGCGTCGGCATTTTTTAGCCTGCTGCCCGGTTTTCTCGATCGTGTCCTTGCTGTTTTACGAAATCTCTCCTGGCGGGAACTCATCTTGTACTTGAGGCTCTTCAAGGATGTTGATCTCCTTCTCTCGGGCGGCCTCCGGCGCACGCACACGCCCAATGTTGTACTCCTTGACGGCGCGAGAGGGCTGCTCCATGCGCGCTGTGGCCTGGCCTGGGCTGGCCTGGGCCTGGGTTGGGCCTGGGGTTGAGCCTGGGGGCTGGGGTTGTTGGGCCTGGGGGCGGTACCCTGGCGCCAGCGGCTGCGGCCGAGCAGGTGCGTCCTTGTTTGGCGCTTCCATGATGACGGAGACCGGGCGCGCGTGCGGGGGCCTCGGGCTCGGGTGCGCGGCGGGGGTGTTTGTTCAGCAGCAACTCAACCCAAACGCCGCTCGTCACTCCACGCGTCACACGCATCGATTGGGGAGGGGAAGGGAGAGCTTGGCTTCGCGGTGGGGGCCGACGGTGCACAAGGAAAGCGTCACGTCTCAAAAGTCGTCCAATTTGTTGAGAAACTGTTTTAACTGAGTGGAGCTGTTTCATTTCGGGTTCAAAGAGCGTTCAAAATCTATATATCTTCTCTCTCGTGTACCTTTTTAAATTTAATTGTAATAGTAAAACATTTGATACATTTTAAAACTTTCTTCACTCCACAAAATAAATCAAATGACAACTTTTTGAGATGTGAAACGTTCCTTGGGCATGCGACGTATTAGTGCGTTGGACGGACGTAAACCAAACCTCTGCCAGTATAATATTGCTACCACTTAATATAGAACTGATTTGTGCATTAACTTGGTTCAAGTGAATTTCACCTTTATAACCTGATAAATGAGTTTTTAAAGGCGTGTCCATTCCCAAACCGCGTCCTTAAGTTTCAAATGTGAAGGCCGGGCGCAAAGGGGGAAGCCGGTCCACCTCTTGGCGAGATAGCCACACACCCACCGAAGCATCTGGCTGTACAGGTACGGTTCCAAGCCTTCCCGCCGCGAATCTCCTGGGCCTTACCGGCTCGTACAAATAGAGCGAAGGAATCGGCGGAATTCTTATATTTTATCCGCCCGCGGCTTCCTGCCGCGGCGCCGCGCTTTATCTGCGCATGGCCTTGCCTCCCCCACCCGCCTTCCCGCGCCCTCTATCGAGTGGAAAGTTCCGCCAAGCGGCGCCTTCGGCTGTCGCGGGCCGGCCGACCCGCGACGCTCTCGCGACCCGACGCCAGCGCCGCGCCGCCGCCGCTTTCCACGCACCGGGCGGGGCGGGGCGGGGCGGGGCGGGGCGGGGCGGTTGCGGTGGGCTGGAGTGGGGTGGGCGGGTGCCTCGTGGTCGGGCCCCGGTGGGTGTCGCAAATGGCCCAGGGACTGGGTTTGGGCCGCGCGCGCCGCGCCTCGCGCGAGCCGTTCTGGCCGGCCAAGCTCCAACTCGACGCTTGACTCGCGCAAACGGTGAAAGTACACGCGCCGTTACAAGAAACGGATTGGTTTCGTATTTCATTTTCTGTATATATTGCAATATTATTGACTTATAAAATTGGCAGAAAAGAAATTAGTGCTCCATTAATTTGAATTTATATATATTATTATTTTAATTATGTTTTCTATATATTAACTACATTATTATATTGTTGCTGTTATTACTGTTATTATTATTATTAATTATTATTATTTAATTATTATTATTATTATTATTACTATTTTACTGGAAATGAAGACTGAAACGCGACCACAAACGGATTTATACCATTAATTACTATTACATAATAAGCTCCCAATTTTAACATTCTCAATTTTTGATTAGGTAGTTTATTTAAGATGTAGAAACAGCATAAGGTATATAATAAGTCAAATGACCTGCGTCCTTTCTTACTTAATTGAACTAATCAATTAATAAATTATTTAACCTTCCTTTCGCAGACGATATAACTACGCCGAAAGGGATAAATTAATTGAGAATAAAGACTACTAATATTATGCCAAATCACAAAAACCTCTTTGTCATTGTCCATGGATGCACTATTTAATTGATACCAATGGATCTCATTTACAGCAAAACAGCTGAGTGACTTGTTTGTGCCAAATTATTCTTTTCCCACAATTACGCTCTCCTTATCTCGGTTCCCCGACCCTTCTTCAGGTCACGACCTGAGTTCGATTATTGTTGCACTTCAATAATTTATCACGAAGAGTGAAGCTTAAGAAAAAGAAGCTCACTATCGTCATGAAAATTTGATAAAATAAATCAATCTCTTAATTCATGAAAATGGCGTCCAATTCATATTCAAAAACAACATTAAATATTACGGGAAATGGAAGAGAACTAAAATCAAGATGGCCGACAGACGTTAGTACTTTATCATTCGATATTTGGAGGTAAAGAATGAATTCGCAGCAAATCAGAAAATATCGAAATTAACCTCTAAGTGTCATCTAATTACCTAAATGTACGGAAAAAACGTTATGTAATACAGGTGCTAAACTCCTATTAATATTTCATTATCTCGTGTAGACAGTAAAGCCTTTAAGCAGTAATGTACTAACTTTGTAGCTGGGTGTGTAGTGAATTTTCTAATAGTACGGGCGATCCCCACTAATTGAATTGAATAGGCCAATTGTCCAAGAGTGAGATTGACAGTTGGTGGTTAAGATATTAGCAATCGTAACCTATTGGAAACGACATCAGATACGTTTTTCATTATGGCTTCCGTTCGTTAGCGAAAGCGTTTAATTAAGAACTCCCGAAGCATATTTACTGAAAGGTTCTATATAAGATATTTACATTATTGCATTACTTAACCCAGCACAATACGAGTTTCGTGTACGATATAAGAACATTGGATCTGCGTTCAAAATGTGAGTAAATTTCGAAAATTTGGAAGACGCGATCCATTAAAAAGAATGAGCGGATGAAATAGTAGCAATACTACTGATTGAGAAGCATTTCAGTATCACGACATGCAGTCGCTGACAGAGCACCCACGCCTCACATGTCCCTGTCTGCAATCCTGTGCTCCTTCGCGCCTCATCACGCCCCCTCACCCCGCGTTTAATTTTAACCCTTCTCGCCAACTCGTGGCGACTGCGTTACGAAACCACCGAAAAAAATGGCGGTTGTGCCGAGTCACACACACACACACAAGCCTCGCAGCAGCGGAGCCACACATACTGGACAGAGGCGGTCCTTCGCTCCAAAGAACAAGGGCGGCGGGCGGGCGCCGAAGCGACGAAGGCGGGAAGCGACGCTAGGACAGTACAAGACACTCACGCGGGCAAGCTGGCAGTCGCTGGCGAACTGGCGGCAGGCGCGCTTGCGCAGAGGCAGCTCCAACTCCTCGCTCTCCGAGTCCGAAGGCTGCGGCGTGGGCAAGTTGAGTGGTGGCATCTGGTTGCTGAAGTCGTAACCAGCTGCGGCTGCCGCTGCTGCTAACTTGCGCTTCTTGTCTAGCGGGTGCGCTGCGCGGCCGGCGGCGGCGATGGCGGCGGCAGCGGCGGCGACGTCCACGTTGTTGCGGCCGGCTTTGAACGACAGCAGCGTCTTCACCGCCTCCAGATCCACGGGGCTGCCCGCCCGCACCTGCCAAAACACAAAGCGGTCATTAGCCCAGGTGGTCACACCGTGCCGGGGGATTCTTTCAAGCGCGCGCGCGCGGGCGCTGCTGCCCTCTGTTGTCACGAGTACTAACTCATTGAGCAGCGGGTTGATTGGAGATAACGGGACCACACTCATTGCTATCTCATTTGTTTTAATCGCTGAACATGTCCTACCTACGATATGCATCCACGTTTAACTTGTCCCTCATTATCAGCAGGCTCGGTTAAATTTGTTCGCTAAAGTACACAATGCATTCGTGTTCGCACTAAAACATGTTACATATACGCCTCCAATTAATTGGTTTTGCATAAAGTAATTAATATACAGGTAAATAGTACATAATACAAGTATAAATAATTTCTAATGATTTGAAAAGGAATGCAAATAATATTGGCTCTCTGATAGAAGCCGCGTCAAAGGCTGTAGTGCCAACGTTTCGACCATCTTGTGGTCTTCCTCAGGGCTAGTCAGTCATTTCTATTGACTGCGGCCGCGGAAGCCTATGACCTGATTTGAAATAGCAAATTGAAATTTGCAAAGAACTAATTTGCAATTTGGGGCACAGTGTTGACAATATTGTAATTTATAATTGTCACCTTTTTAGTCTTTTTTTCTTTTATTCGACGTAATTAAGCTCGGAAATATATTCCGCAATCGTAAAAAATCTAAGTTGGGTCCATGTTACTGAGGAACAACGTATTTTAATAATTAAAATTTTTTCCAATCAATTGGTCGCCCCAACCGGGATTCGAACCCGGGCCTTCCGTTTTACGTCCACATTGTTTTGTTTACACGAGACCCCCAGAAATGGGCGCCGACACGCAAAGAGTTTGGTTGGTCGGCGCGCCCACTCGCAAAGCAGCCCAAGGGGGGGGGAGTGAGGGGGCGGAGAGCAGCGAACCCAGGCGGCCGAGTGGGCGGGCGGGCTGGCTAGCGCGCTCCATTGGCAATTTGCAAGGGGAGGGGGGCTGAGGGCGAGCGCCGCCAGCGGCTGTGGGAACGTCTCGCGGGCCATCCTCCGCGGGCAATTCCCCGCAACGAGCAAAGTAGATAATGGGGCGACACGGCCTCTCAAAAGAGGACGGCGGCGGCGGCGACCGCGGGGGGGTCCGCAAGGGGGCGCGGCGGACGCACCTACTACTATTACTATATTCGCGCGTCTGGCCT